CACTCATGAACTACGCCTACATCCCTACCTTCGTCGGTTTGTGCTTGTGTTCTTCGATGATATCTTGATCTACAGCTCGTCCTGGTCGGATCACCTACATCATGTGCTCGTCTTGGAGGCTATGCGCACACATCAGCTGTTTCTCAAGCGCTCCAGGTGTTCCTTTGGGGAAGAAACCATGGCTTATCTGGGACACGTCATCTCCACTATAGGAGTTGCCACGGACAGCGACAAGGTTCTAGCCGTGGTAGACTGGCCAGTTTCGCGCACCGTCCGTGCTGTGCGTGGTTTCTTAGGACTGGCAAGATACTGCCGCAAGTTCATCCGGGATTTTGGCACCATTGCAGCTCCCCTCACGGCGCTCCACAAGAAAGACGGATTTCTTTGGACGCCTGCGGCGACTACCGCCTTTGAAGCTCTCAAGACAGCTCTTACCACCGCCCCTGTGCTTCGGCTGCCGGATTTTGCAGTGTCATTCATTGTGGAATGTGATGCATTTGGATCTGGTTTCAGGGCAGTCCTACATCAAGGTGGCGGCCCCATTGCCTATTTCAGCAAAACCATCGCTCCGTGCCATGCTTCTCTCGCCGCTTATGAGCGGGAGCTCATTGGTCTGGTGCACGCCATGCGCCACTGGCGGCCCTATCTTTGGGGACGTGCGTTTGTCATCAAAACTGACCACTACAGCATGAAGTTTTTGTTGGACCAACACCTCGCTACCATTCCATAGCATCATTGGGTGGGCAAGCTGTTGGGGTTCGACCTCACGATGGAATATAAACCAGGCCACCAAAACATCGTCGCCGACACTCTTTCTCGCCGTGATGCTCCTGCCGGCCAGGCACTCGCCATATCCGGGTCTTCCTTTGATCTGTTTGAAGCTCTCCGTCAGGCTGCACACACGGACCCGACGCTCGTCACTTTCCAGGAACAACTAGAATCTGATGAGTTAGGCCAGCCTTGGGCTCTCATTGATGGTGTTGTTACCTTCCAGCAACGGGCTTATGTGCCACCCGCGTCGCCACTGCTCGGGAAGGTCCTGGCTGCAGCCCACGATGCCGGCCATGAAGGTATCCAGAAGTCACTTCATCGTCTTCGCCAGGATTTCCATCTGTCGCAAGCAAGGGCATCACTTCAGCAGTATATTCATGCTTGTCAGGTTTGTCAACGCAATAAGACGCAGCAGCTTCATCCAGTCGGCTTATTGCAGCCCTTGACAATGCCATCTCATGTCTAGGAAGACATCTGCATGGATTTCACTGAGGCACTACCGAAGGTGTGCTTGTCAGGTTTGTCAACGCAACAAGACGGAGCAGCTTCATCCAGTCGTCTTATTGCAGCCCTTGACAGTGCCACCTCGTGTCTGGGAAGACATCTCCATGGATTTCACTGAGGCACTTCCGAAGGTGGGCGGCAAGAGTGTGATCCTGACCGTCGTGGACCGTTTCTCCAAGTATGCGCATTTCATCCCATTGGCGCATCCGTACACTGTAGAGTCTGTTGCTAAGGCCTTCTTCTCCAACATTGTCCGACTTCATGGGTTTCCAACATCCATCGTTTCGGACAGGGATGTGGTTTTCACTTCGGGATTTTGGAAGGCTTTGTTTGCCGCCATGCGCGCTTGCACATGAGTTCAGCCTTCCATCCGCAGTCTGATGGACAATCTGAGGCCGTCAATCACGTCATCACCATGTGCCTTCGTTGCATAACTGGGGATCGCCCACGGCAGTGGCTCCAATGGTTGCCTTGGGCAAAGTACTGCTACAACACTTCGTACCACTCAGCATTGAAGGACACTCCTGTCAGGGTGATTTATGGACGGGATCCCCCCTCACTCCGGGACTATACGCCGGGCGAGATTCGCCATCAGGCGGTGGAACGGCAGATCGTCAACCGCGATCAATTCTTACTCGACATCTGTGATCGTCTCATTCAGGCAACACAACAGTACAAGCATTACTATGATGATAAGCATCGGGCCCTTTCTTTTGATGTTGGAGAATGGGTTTGGCTCCGTCTTCAGCATCGGTCGGTTCCTTGGAGTAGGCGCCAAAGGGAAATTGGCTCCCAAAAATTATGGGCCTTTCAAAGTCCTCGCTAAAATCGATACGGTTGCTTATCATTTGGAGCTGCCCCCACGCGCCCGCATTCACAATGTCTTCCATGTCGAGGTCCTGAAAAGCACCATGGTCCGCCGCCGGAAGTTCCGCCGATGCTTCCACCTCTGTTTCAGGGTCGAGTACATCCAACCCATGTCCAAGCATTGCATGCTCGTATTGCTCGGGGTGCCTAGTAGGTGCTCATTCACTGGGAGGGCCAGCCGGCGTCTGCTGCATCATGGGAGGATGTCACACCCTTCCGCGAACGTTATCCAAGCTTCTAGCTCGAGGACGAGTTGTTTCAAAATGGAGGGGGAGATGTCATGTGGGGCCAGCCCTATAGGCGCAAAGGACCTGTGCGGGCCGGCCCTGTACCTGCATAAAAATATGTCCTTGTTTAATTATAGTCATTTTAGATTAGGAGTTTGGGTATTAGTTGGAAAGGTTTAGTCCCGAAAAAGGTTACCCTGCCAACACCCAATTCTAGTAGGAGTCTGTAATCTGGTCTTGTAATTAGGCTATATATAGCCAGCCCTTGGGATCAATAAACGTCAAGCAGAGAATAACCTACACCCTCACCTCCCTTGCTCCTGCGTTACGGCGCCCCTCCTCACCCCTTCTCCAACAATAGGCCGACGAGGGGTACACCCTCGACCTCCTACCTCCCACACCTACAACCTGCGCGACAATCAGCCGGGCCGTGACATTTTCATTTGGCATTTGACCTATCCGATGTGACAACACTGACGGCTAACAGTTGACTGCAGAGCTGAACTATTCGCTCAACGAGTTCCCATGCACCTACTTGGGTATGCCTGTTCGCTCAATGAGTTCCCATGCACCTACTTGGGCATGCCTCTCGGATTCAAGAGATTGAAGAGGGTCCATTATCAGGCCATTTTTTATAAGCTTCAACGTAAAAACAACTTCATGGAACAAGTTGAACTTGCCTTCCAACTAATGGCCATTGACCCCCTCCCCCCCCCACACACACACACACACCCAATTTGGCTGGGGAAAAAGTTTGAAAAAGATTGCAGGGGTTTTCTTTGGGCTAACAAGGCCGAGACGTCTAATGGTAGGTGACTGGTGAACTGGAAACAACTCTGTCTCATGGTAGGTGTCTGGTGAACTGGAAATAGCTCTATCTCCAGTGCACTTGTGGCGGGTTGGGTATTCCAAACCTTCTCCTAAAGAGTGATGCACCTTGTTGTCGTTGGCTATGGCTGTCTTGGATGGACAGCTCGAGGCCGTGGATAGGGCTGCCTTTGCCTGTGAATGATGTCGTCAAGTCCCTGTTTGTGGCTTCCATCAGATTCAACATTGGCGATGGTGCGGCAACCCAATTCTGAACGGATCCTTGGTTAAATAAAACAAGTTTCAGCATAAAATACACAGAGCTATTTCGTCAATGCACGATTCCACGTAGCGTAGGATCACAATTAAAGATGCCTTGGCACAGGACAAATGGCTGCGTCACTTCAAGGCTGATCTGACTGCAGCTTCCTTACTCCAGTTCTTGGGGACGTGGAACAATCTCCATCAGTTTCAGCTTACCACTGGCAGCCAAACTCATTGACATGGCTCTGGACTGCTAATGGCACCTACAGTGCTAGCTCGGCCTATGCTCTGCACTTCTCAGGTTGTATCAAGCCACCTTTTGCCAAGATGGCCTGGAATTGTGATGCTCCACCCAAATGTCAATTGTTCACTTGGCTAGCTTGGCAAGGCCGATGCTGAACTGCGGATAACCTTGCCCGCCATGGCTGGGACCATGACCCCAGGTGCTTGATGTGCTTAACTGCTGCTGAACCCTCACTGCATCTTTTTACGATCTGTCCTTTTGCTTCAGAGCTATGGCGTCTAGTATTGGACAAGTTGCAGCAACTGGCTAGTCTCATTCCGGCAAAACCTGATGGTACTCTTGACTGCTTGGTGCGACCGTAGCTCCTTGGGTCTCACTCAAGATGCAGCCAAGTCCCGGAGATCGATCGTGGCGCTCGTTTGGTGGTCAATCTGGAAAGAAAGGAATGAATGTGTCTTCAGGCATCACTCATGCTCAGTCACCACTTTGTTCCGGAAACTCCAGATGGAGGCTCAGATGTCGACTGAGGCTGGCCAGATGCGTGTCCTACTGCTTGCCGGCCATCCTTGTGAGCCTGATTAAATGCGAGATTGCCTGTTTCCCCCTTCGTTTTGTTTTCTTTTCTCCTTCTTTGGGAGCATTTCACTCAGGTTTAGTGCCTGGGCTGTAAAACTCTGTTCCTATCCTATCTATTTGTAACGAAAGCAGTGTAAACTGCCTTTTGTCAGAAAAGATGTCATCAAAAGCTGCCAGTTTTCCCAAGCATTACTACAGATAGCAAATGATAGTTGCAGCTTAAAACCCTCTTGTCTATCATAACAGCATTGCGCCAGTCACATTCCATTCATTCACCACGCACCTACATATCTGAAGTTAACATATCTATCCTATCTCCCTGGCTCCTTGCTCAATTTTTTTCAAGAAGAAATTATCAAGCAAGGCATATGCAAATATGACCATCCTTTTTAACTGTTAACCTCAATTAATAATATCACAATTGGCACAGGAACAAATTACATGCTTCGCTCTTCTAATTTAATTCTGAGGCTCCATCAATCCAGAATGAACATAAATACCAATTTTGCTGGTACAAATTGTATGCTACCAATTTGCATCAGCATGGACAATTAGCTCCAAATGTAATCTCCCACAACAGGAATGAAGTGCAGCCTTAATTTTATTTCCCAATCAGAATATCCAGGAACTACTATAGGAACATATAAGTACTAACTAAAACAAAGATCGCCAAGATTTGTTCCCAAAAGAAGAAATCTCTGACCTCGATGCGCTCATCAAAGAACGGCCTGGAGCAACCACTACTCCTCGAGCTGCTTGAGCTCGGCCTTGAGCTGCTCCATCTTGAGCCCCATGGACCTGCGGAGCGCGTCGGCGTCTGCGGGCGGGACCCGCGCAAGCAGCGCGTCGAAGGCGCCGAGGGCCTCGCCGGCCGCGTCGCGCGCGCAGGCGGCCTCCTCGTTGAAGTACACCGTCTCCTTGCTGTCCATGGCAGCCTCGATCTCCTCCCGCGCTTCGGCGAACTTGCGGTTCACCTCGTCGACGTCCTTGCCGTAGTCCGTCGAGAAGGCGCGGCGTTGTGCAGGGAGGATGAGGCCCCGCGGAGAAAGTGGCAGGGGAGGTCTGGCGTTCGTTAGGGGTTGCGGGGCGGCGGTGGAGGGGCGGAGGAGATAGGCGGCGGCGCGGAGGAGGACGCGAGGGTTTCGGTGCATCCTCGCTTGCGGGGGTGGGTTTCTCTTTCTCTTCTCCTTCCCTGTCGGTGGTTAGGGCATCTTCAACACTATACGTCAACCCAAATTACAAGTGCCACAATTCGTGCCATTCGGTTTTTCGATGACATTTTCAGTCACGTAATAGCAAATTTGGTAGGATATATCATAAATTTCTGTCAAAAATAAATTAAAGCACGAAAGTTGTCATGCTTGACATTTAAGGTTGTCACCATCGCGCTTACTAAAATTGTCATCCAAAATATTCGGAATTGTCATGTTTTCGTACTTGACGCTCGGTACTTATCAGGTCCTACATCAAAACAAAAACATGGCAAATATCCGTACAACATGTCCACGGATAGTTTTAAGAGAACCGATCATACACCCCGATGCATCAAATAAAATTGGACAAAAAAAATTCATTAATATTGTACATAGCAAAAGTTAAGGGTCTTTATCCATGTCGGACATGGGCACGTCTGCTCCCATGTCCTACTGTTGGAGCCCGTCGACGGCAACGTCGCCCATGGAGATGAGCTCAGCAATCTACGTGGAAGGTCCAGCCTCATGTTCGTTAGCCCGACTCGAACGGCGTGGAGTTGCCGACGTTGGCAGTGTTTCAGTCCGTCACCGCATCTGTGTTCACCTCCGCCGCGATCTCCCCGAACATGCAGTCGTACTCCGCCTCATTGATGCGTAGACGTCACCGCTCGCGACGGATGGCGCAAGCACTGCACACGGACTCGTACATCGTCCGCTGCTCATCCATGATGCCCCGGATTCTGTGCGAGCATGCCCGTGATGACCTTCGCGTTCGCATGCTCGCCGGTGATCTAGCCATCCGTGAGTCGATGGTGCTCTAGGAGCTGCAAGTTGTACCACTGCTTCTCCTGTAGCATCTGAAACGCGGAGACCGGCAGCGTCTGCTTCTCCGGTTGCGTCTCCACCATGACGGTGTTGTAATGCGCTTTCGGCTACTGTAGAGCGAGCCCCGCAGCAGGCGCGGGTGGCTGCTCCTCCTCCTTCGTGTCCTCCATGTCGAGGAGAACTCTGAGGCTCTCCCTCCCAACATAATGTGGGCCATGCAGCGGGCACCCCATGTGTCCAACAAGTTTGCGACTCCGTGGCGGAGGCACGGCGAAAGGGTCTTCCACCATCCCCAGCTAGCCTCGACCATTGGTCTGGAGGTCAAAGGGAAGAGGTGGTGTGCCGAGAGAGATAAGATGAAAGGAGTGTAGGGGAACGTGCTACGCAAAAAAATTATGCTACATGATCACACCCGGAAACACTATGAAGATGGCGGTAACGATCAAACTCATCAACGGGGAAGAGTAGCGGAAGCAAATGACGAGCCGGGGCATCCCGTCGATTCCCACACCTAGATTACACCTCCCAGCGCGGGAATTGTTCTCCAAGACGAGAGCCCTCTAAGTATCCATGCATTCCGAAGTAGTAGTCCGACAGAGCTTCGACGTCGAGGAAGAAAAAATGTAAGAAAATTAGAGAGAGAAAGCCTAGTGGCGCTTCTCGTCTAATTAGAGCATCTACAGTCGGGGCACTCAAACCCGCCTCATACGCCCGGGCGGGCCGCCCGGTCACTGACCGGACACGTTTCTTCGACCCAGACGGACGCCTCAAATGGGCCTCGAATGCCTGGACTGATCGGCACCCCCCATATCCAGCCCAAATAAGGGGCGGATATGGGGGCGCCCGGGCACGCCCGCCACGTCGGACTGACGAAGGGGTCCCAGTCGGAAACGCCATCAAACTCGGTGGTCCGAAGATCGTCTCCTCCTTCGAACCGGTTGGAACGATGGTAACATGGACACGGGATTTTACCTAGGATTCGGGCCCTCTTGATGGAGGTAAAACCCTGCGTCCTTCTTTTGATTGTGTTCATATGGGGGATAGTACAGAGTACATATATCTACCACAAGATTGTTCTAATGAATATGAGTTGATCTATCGACTAACCTGGCCCCGGTTTATATATGCATCGGAGGCCTAGGGTTTAGAAGAGTCCTCGTCTTGTGCGCCAAGTCATGTGGAGTCTTGTATGCGCTGTGGTCTGCCTGAGGTGGCCCATTGGTGAACCACCATAAGGGTCCTCGGCCCGACCCACTGGTCGGGAGACGACGTGGATCTAGGATATGAAATATGAGAGAGGTGAATGCAAAATAGCTAATTTGAGACATGACCGATAAGTGTCCGCGGACGGGCGCATTCGTGGACGTTTGAGGCGACGATGCCATGTACTTAGGGTAGGGTCATAGGCCTGACCTAGACGCCCTACCCAAGGACACTTCCCTAGAGTCAAAGTCATTTGAAGTACAACAGAAGATATTGACTGAAACCAAGTTAAAGTGCAAGCCACTCAACCAGTTATCCCACTCGGATACCCCAATTCCACTCGATCAAGATAGAGTCACCCAACCACATGAAGAAACACTCGGAGTACAGAAGGTCTAAAGTCACCCTAGGATGGCAACGGTCAGGCGTTCACTCCGTAGTCTTAAAGATCATTTATAATCATTCATAGCTAGCGTTACCAATAACGCCCCTGCCTTAACGTACATTGAACCTTATGTAACTGGGGGCTGGAGGGGTCTGGCGCACTCTATATAAGCCACCGCCCTCCTCTGGCACAAGGGTTCGCACCCCCTGTAACTCTCACGCATAATCTAGTCGACAAAGCCTCCGGGCACCGAGACGTAGGGCTATTACTTCCTCCGAGAAGGGCCTGAACTCGTAAATATTGCGTGCACAACCTTGCCGTACCTAGGGCCTTGCCTCCTCCTACGTACCCCCCATTCTTACTGTCAGACTTGCTCCCACGACAGTTGGCGCCCACCGTGGGGCCGGCGTCTTAGCGACTTCCGGTGAGGTTGCAGTTTTTCCGATCTTCATCAACATGGTTTCCGGCGGTGGTTTGTCTTTGGGCCGCGAGATCCGTCTCGGCGTGCTCGTTTTTGTCACTCACGACTCCGCCTGGCTCTAAGAGGCCCCCCTCGACGTCGAGGCCCTTCCCATCCGCGGGGCGGCACACTTTCGCGTGAGTGCATGCGGCGTCCTCCTGCGGCAGCCGTCGACCTATTATCGGTCAGCTCCCGCGTGATCCACTCTCCCCACTGTACGCCACCGCAAGCGATTCGGTCGGTCGTGGCTTCAGCGGTGGGTGAGGTATGCGGTGGCTCGTGTTGGGGAACGTGTAATTTCAAAAAAATTCCTACGCACAGGCAAGATCATGGTGATGCATAGCAACGAGGGGAGAGTGTGATCTACGTACCCTTGTAGATCGACAACAGAAGCTTTTGGTTGATGTAGTCGTACGTCTTCACGGCCCGACCGATCAAGCACCGAAACTACGGCACCTCCGAGTTTTAGCACACGTTCAGCTCGATGACGATCCCCGGACTCCGATCCAGCAAAGTGTCGGGGAAGAGTTCCGTCAACACGATGGCGTGGTGACGATCTTGATGTACTACTGTCGCAGGGCTTCGCCTAAGCACCGCTACAATATTATCGAGGACTATGGTGGCTGGGGGCGCCGCACACGGCTAAGAATAAGATCACGTGGATCAACTTGTGTGTCTCTGGGATTCCCCTGCCTCAGTATATAAAGGACCAAGGGGGGGTTGCGGCCGGCCTAGGAGAGG